AGTAACAATATGATCTGGGGTGTTGGTAAAGATCGGTTTTTTACCACAAGAATCTATCAAGATTGGATTTTTTAAAATGGGTTCCTTTATTTCTTCATTGTTAACATGTTCTTGAGGGTATTCTATACCCTTCTTCGGTTTTTCTTGAGTGGTCTTCCTTTTTCTTGACCGAGGTTTCTGGTTCTGGTTCTGGTTCTGGTTTTGATTCTGGTTCTTTCCACTTTCCTTTTTCTTTCTTGATCTTGAAGATGATTTCGATTTCATGATTTGATTCATTTCTTTCCTCATTTTATCAAACATGGTCTCTCTTGCAACTCTAAGATCATCCAAGATTGATTCCGTAAAGATCCTAAAATCATCTGAAACTGTCATTTGGCTTAAAAACTTACTCTTGTTCTTTCTACTACTATTGTCTTTCTTCTTTATGTTAGAAGATGCACAAGAATCTTTCTTTGATTTTGTCTTCACTTCTCTTTTGTTTTTCTTTTCCTTTTTTGGTGTGTTACGGATTCTTTTCGGCTTTTTTTCAACTTGAACAGTTTCACTCACTCGATCGATTTCAGGAGAAACCAAATTAGGAACCAATAGAAGTTTTTCTTGAGTATGACCCACATCAGAATTTGATTTTGAATCATCGCTAGAGGAATCAACGTTCCTTCTAAATCCCCAAATTTGTTCAAATTTCTGATTTTCATCCATTTTCTTGATCTGGGTACTTTAGAAATCGATCTTTTTATGCGAATCTTGATCCAACTTGTGTAAATTTAACTTTTTAAATAGATTTTCGTGCAACAGATGTTTCTTACACCATTAAAGAACCTCCATGAGAGCTTGAATCAACCTTCAATCAAAGAACCATTAACAAACAAAAAAAATTCTCACAAAAAAATTAAAACAAAAATTCACCTCCACCCCTAATATTCTAGAAAATCATAATATGACACAATATTCTTTGTTTGCAACCCCAGATATTTGATATGCTGATCTAGTTATCAATGTTTGTCTTCAAATAAATTTTTATATGTTACAATTAAGATCATTTAACACTGAATTACGGACTTTTTACATGGAATTTGAAGAAACAAGACACAAGTTTGAAAATTTTCAACATTGTGAAGTAGAACACTCTAATTCATATTTCATTTTCATGCCATAAAGATTCGGCTAGTTGACCAGTTTTAAGTCAAACTATTGCTAAAAAAGGAGCTCTGTGGGCATATAAAACAGAACAATCAATCAAAAAGAGAAGGACCCAAATACCCAACATCAAACCCTAAAGATTTATCAAAATGTCAATGTAATTGTTTTGATTATGAACCCTATGAGCAATCAAGCCCAAATTGCGTAAAATCATAACAAACAAAATATACAAGATTCATATTGCATTAAAACCTACAAACCCCTCTTAAAAATGAGTAACAATGCAAGATATCATCATACCTTCATAACAAAGAAGATGAAAAAAGGATCAATCTTTATTCAAGAAACAGAATTTCATCTTTCGCTCTCTGCATCAATTTCCTTGAAAACATTTGGTTTCTAGGGTTTGTGTTGTCCAGTGGTCTATATAGTATATAATACGAAACGAGGGAAAGAGAGCAGAAAGTAAACACGAAGGGGAGTGAATATGTTTCCTGAAGTGGAATTCCATTAAATGTTATTAAATAATTTTCTTGATTTTGATTACAAGAAAGTTCTTTCTTTTAGCTAATAAGGTTTTATCACTAACATGTTTTTTTTTTATAAATTATTATAATAAATGTCGGTTTAATGAAAGTAGATATCTTTCACTTTCTTCATGCAAGATAAACCATCCTCTTGTGACCATATTCTACAGAAAAATACAATATATAGATTATGTTAATGCTAACACAATATTAATCTTAGTCTAGTAATTTTAATCATGCAAAACATAATTATATCATATACAAGATATTTTAAAATATATAGATTTGAGATTTCAGCCAGAAGTTGTGTGACTATTTTTCAACATAATATATGTTTAATATGCTTTTTCTAATAGTTGTTTCGAACTTTACCCTTGTCTTATTTGCTTGTAGAAGTAAACAAGGTGATAAATTATATACTTTCCGATTTTGTTTAGATATATACAGCTAAAGAGAATCGATGATTGATTGTGTATATATGTTAGGAATTGATATGGTAATCACCAACAATTTTGTAAATTTTGATTAATACATATGAAACACGTCAGAGTATGATCTTTTTAGTTTTGCTAAAAACATTACATAATATTAATTAATATAGAGTGCAAAATCTAGTATATTCAAAATATTGCTGGCATTTTACTATTTACTTCATACATGATTAGTAATCATGAAATATGTTTGATGTGAACTATCCAATAAACGAGGTTTACCATGTTTTTTTTCATATAGTAATAGTCCAAGCCAATGTTACCGATACATTTGAACATTTAAGAATTATTTAATGTAAAAGATTATATGTGACAATTTCGATTATTTATGAATATGTTAATTTAACTTATAAATAAGTGTAAAAATTGAATTAAAAAACCTCTAGCTACATGGGTTAAATGGGCCAAATCTAAGGTGATTTATTATATTGGGTAAATTACATGAATGGTTCCTGTGGTTTGGGGTAATCTGTGTAGTTGGTCCCTAAGAAGAATTTTTAGCTCGGACGGTCCCTATTATTTGGTTTTGTTGCGTTTTTGGTCCCTACCACTCTTAAAAAAGATTGTTTTGCCCTTACTGTTATTTTTATATTTAAAATTCATTTTAATAATTATTTCTTATTTTCACTATTTATATTATTATTATCATTATTGAAAAACATAATTAGATTACCTCCTCCTTTAATCCAACCCACCCCTTCACTCCTCCTGCCGTTCATCATCTTCTTCCGGTAATCCTCCACCCAACCACCATCAACCTTTCTTTCTTCTTCAGCAAGGCTGTCGTAAAACCTCCACCAAAAAAAAAACGTCGAAGAAACCAGGAATAGAAACTGACAAATCTAAAGCAATGTGGAAATCAAACCGGAAGAAAATCGTCGGAGAAATCAGATCAGGAAAAGCAAGCTTACAGAAACCAGATCGTCGGAGAAGGTGGAGGAAGCCGGAGAAAACAGAGAGTCTGACGGGTTGTCCTTCTATTTAACCCCACCCCGTCGCTCACCCCACCCATTTATCCCTTACTGTCGACACCTTATATCAAAAACCCTAACATCCTTCTCCTCCCATTGAAACTGGTGATTCATAGGGTGAAGGCACCGTTGAAACTCCCGATTGAAATCGTCGGTGTCTGAAGTGAACTAGAGCCACCCCAACCATTGGCATTTGTATTAGAAACCATGTGAATCGGAGCTTACTTTGATTTTTACACCTTGTTTGAAACTCGTTTCAGCAACCTCATGAATCAGATTCTGATTTTGATTTTCATCTTGTTCGTTTGATTTTGTTTTGATTATCACCAAATCTAGTTTTGATTAACATCGATTTTGGTTTCAATTTCCTTCGAGTTTGGTTTTCATTACTAACAGGTTTGATTTTGTTTTGATTGTCACTGGATCTTTTAGCATAGGGGGAAGAAGACGAGTTGGTTGTATTGGTCTATTACCTGCCTTTTTTTTTCAGGTGGCAGAGGACTGTGGAGGCTACCGGAGGGGCTGTGGAGGTTGTCGGAAGCTTGGTCTAGGACTTCTACGTTTTCATTGATTTAAGAGAGAGCGAGAGAGAGAGAGAGAGAGAGAGAGAGAGAGAGCAATGGGATAGGAATGAACCAGTGAAGTTGTGGTGAGTGGGTATTTTTGTTTTTAGAATTATAAATTATAAATAAACAAATTAAAAAAGAAATTAATAAGGGTAAAAAAGTCATTTTAGGTCAAATAGGGACTAACGACAAAACCGAACAATAGGGATTGTCCGCGTTAAAAATTCTTCTTAGGGACTAACTATGCAGATTACCCCAAACCACAGGGACCATTCTTGTAATTTACCCTATTATATTGGGCTTAATTTTATTCTAGAAACTTTTCGTCTTTAAAAAGGTATGGATGATATAATATCATTTAGAACTATAAATTTATTTTTATTTATATAATTTTCAATAATACTGTCATTAAAAAAAAAATTAAAACATCATTTTAATTATAGTTTTTACAAATTCGCTATAACATTTTCTTTATCATAATTCTATTTTAATATTTGATGGTATTTTATCATTCTGTCCCAAATAGGTTATTACTGTGAAAATATATTAAATATTTATAAAAATTAAATAAGAACAAAAGGTGTTTGTGTTGCCTTTCTGAATCAAAGTAATATCTATTTACGTCATTACTCAATATATCACATCATATAAAAGTATAAAACCATGTATTAAGGAAACTAATAAGGGGATAAATTATCCCGAAATGAAATTTAAGGTAAATGAGGAGTGAAGAGTGGGATTGTTACTAAACAATAGGGGTGTAAGTGAGCCGAGCTACTCGGGATCGACTCGTTAAAAGATCGACTTGAAATCGAATTAAACGAGCCTAAGCCGAGCTCAAGCCTAAATATGAGGCTTGTTTATTAAACGAGCTCGAGTCGAGCTTCAATTAATGGTATCGCGAGCCTAAACGAGCTTAAACAAGCATATATATATATATATATATATATATATATATATATATATATATATAGGCTCGTTTAGGCTCGATTTGGCTCGCAAACCCACTAAATTGTTCACGAGCTGAGTTCGAGCTTCATTTTAAGGTTCGAATCGAGCTCGAGCTCGGCTCGGCTCGTTTACACCTCTACTAAACAATTCTAATTGAGGAGTGAAGAGTTAAAACATTTAGCCTTTGGGGTAAAACTTCGATTAAATAAAGTTTAGTGTCCCAATTGAAAATATGGTTTTCTAACTCTCAAAAGTCAATCAAGATCACAATGTTACGAATGGAACTATAGAAAACACATTAACATTGCATGAAACTGATTGCCAAATCGATAATTTCTATAATACAAAGAAAATAACCTGATTTTACTAAATATTACAAACACTAAAAATCCAAAAGTGAATGGATGAATATTATTACTCTAGAGATACAAAAATTTCTTCTAAAGCTATTCAAATCCTAGTTGCCAATTCTAACCTCTCATATAAATTACACAAAAAAGAAAGAAAATCCACTACAACTACAACTTACTAACATAAACATCTTTGACTTTTCTCTATCTTAACTTCTCAAGATCATTAAAAATCGCGGAAATTTTTAATCTTTTTAGAGAAACCAAGACACCCTTTTGAAAATCATGCACGTGACATTGGAGAAAACGGAGGGTTGACCAAAAAAGAAGGTGGGAATTCGTTTTTGACTGGTTTTCTTTTGTCCTCCTCTACCACAGCCTCAATCAAATGTTTGACTTCATCTTCAACAAAGACTCTTAAAGAATCACATTGCAACATTTCTCGATTTTTATCATGATCAACAAGAATCAATGTTTCTGTAGTGTGCAAGATAGCAACACAAATCGAAAATGCTTGTAGTGAGGTCAACTGTTCATGAAAGTCAACTGCATACTGCCCTTCTTCAGTCAACTTCATGGTCAATGCTGGTGTGTTCTCTTTACTTCCCTGTGTCATAATATGATCCCAAAAAAGATAGTTAAAAATAGTCCCTTTTTTCAATCAAGAAAAGAGATAGTCTACAGCTTGACTTTTGAGGTCAAACTTCCTGTTTTCAAGATTCAAAATTAACAATCTTTTTTAATCTTTAATGTGACTCATTCACAAAATTCTTCCATTTACGATCATTTAACATAGTGAGAAAGTGAGAAAGCCATATAGAAAATTAAAAGCACCCTTTTTTCACCAATCAAGATTCAAGAAAAGAGATACAGTCCAAAGGTTGACTTTTGAAGTCAAACTTTCACCTTTCAAGATTCTAAAATTAACAATCTTTTTCGACCTTCAATGTGATTTATCCTCTTCAATCAATTTAAAATCATTCGGTAATAAAAGTCAACAATATGAATTTGAAAAAAAAAAAATTACCTTTATAAAAAGTTTGACTGGCTGTTTACAAGCTTCCTCTTTCTGAATACTAAAGTTGCTAAGAACAACAAGAGGGCACCCCATATCCCACCCTCCACACTCACACCCTCCACCTAATCGCCACCTGTCAAGCAACGGAGAGGGCCCACGACTTTCGCCACTTGGCAACCCATGATTGGCTGAAGGGATCACAACACTCACTTTTGCAAATTCATTCTTATTCATATCACATTTCAAGCTTTCTCTATTCTCAGATGGAAATTGTACAACAATGGCTGCTGTTTCAAGATCCAAATGCAAATCACCAACAAAATTTTCATTTGTTGACTTGCAAGTTATTCCCTCAAGATCATACAATACAAATTCGTTGATCATGGAGTTATCAAAAGCTCCTGTGTTAACTAATTCTGTACATAAATAACACGAAACCCGCATCTTGCCAACTGTTTTTGTTAAATCTTGATTTTTATTATCTTTAAATTCATTGATTTTTCGTCTATTTTGAGCAGTGTGAAAGGTGTATACCCAATCACAACCATTTCCCACTTTTGATGTTTTTCCCACCAAAACATCGTTTGAATTCTTTAATGAAAACTCAAAATAAGGCATTTGATTCTTGTTTTCCACCTTCAAAACCCCATTCAAACAAGAAGATGATACAATCAAGCCACAAGAATCACAATCAGCATATGAAAAATCATGTATTAATGATTTTTGTGAAGTAGTGTTCTTTGATCCAGCTGATGTGGCTTCATCATGTTCTTTGGTGCTAAATCCTAAAGGACTTTTCTGGGATTTTGACTTCACAAATGGGTCAAACATCTTTTTTAACGGACTGAAACGATTCTTGGGATTTTTAGAAGGTGAATGGGGTAATTGTAATTCCAATCTTGAAGATAAAGATTTGTTCAAAGGGGTACATAAAGGATGTTGTTGTTGTTGATCTTCTTGTTTATTGATTGGATTTATAGAATTTTCCAAAAATGACCTCGAAAGAGAGCCTAACAAGGCATCATCTTCTTCTGAATCACATAAGGAACCGAATAATTCGAAGGGTAAAGGAGTGGAATTTCTTGAAAATTCAATCTTTTTTCTACCTTCAGTTTCTTTCTCACTTATTTTACTTACTTCTTTTGAACTTTGATATACAGAACCCCTCTTGAATGTTGCATTGACCCCCGTTGACCGTGTTGACCGAGCATCACGACATGATTGACTTCGGTACCGATGTAAATTTATCTCTGTAAATTCCTTGTTTTGAGTTATAATTACTTTCTTTCTAACTCTTTTCTTTTCGGTTTTTGAATGATTGGGAGATAAAAGAACAGTTTTAGGACTTCCATCTACCACACAATACTTCTCAAAATCCAGCTCTAAATCTTGAGCCATCTATTGATTTATGATCTAGAAAAGAAGAACAAATAGAATATTATTTAGAAAACTGTAATTTTAAGGAAATCTATGTCCATGTTCATGTTTAAAACTTCAAATCACCATTAATTCATTATCTACAAGCAGTTGTAAGAAAGATAAGTAAAAAAAAGAACAGAACTCAAATAACAATTCCATGTGGTGAAAAAAAAAAGATGAAGAAAAAAGAGCAAAATCATGAAAAGTACTTACACATTTTGCTAACATTAAGGATGAATTGGTACTTTCTCAAGTTTCAAAGCAGTAATTAATGTTTTGATTTATCTACACTCAAAGCAAAAGCGTAAAGAACTTACATTGGCAGAGCAACATATGATAAGCAATGCATGTGGCTTTAGCAATTAGAAAAAAAGAAAAAGAAAAAGATTAAGAACCCTAATTTCAATTCCAAGAAACAGAAACCCCACATCAAAATTCAAAACCCAGATTAACAACTCTTTCTCAGACAAATTATCAAACAGGTGGTAGACATAATAATGATAATAATAACAGTAAAAATAAACAAGCATGGATGATAAAAATATGATAAAAAAAAGTAGATATCTTTATACTTACTCTTGCATTTGAACCCAGACGAAGCACAAATGATTGTTGAGGGAAAAGGTAGAGCCCCACCAGTGAACGGATCTCAATGACGTGATTCCAAAGCATTCAAAACACAAAAACCCCTTAAACAAACTAAAAACCATATCTTTCAATCTCTTGAGCTCAATCTTCTTCGCAAATTAGACATTGTTATCTCAAACCCAACAAATTAAATGGCGATAACTTCGGTCACTCTTCAAATTATCAAGCTTTGAAATTTGAAGCATACCCATTTTCAGAAACTTAGATAAGATCCCAGAAGCGCGAGTACATTATGCAAAAATAGAACTGGGTAGTGGGTAAAACAACGAGAAAACAACAATGGCTTGCAATTATTCAAGCAACAGAAAAGCACAAAAAGAGAATTGGAGAGAGAGAGAAAGGAGTTGCAGTGAGAGGGCTGCTATTGCTTACTGTTAATTTTACCCCTTCTCTCTCCCCCTCTCTCTTTTTATATAAGTTTATTGTATTATACACGCACATGTGTGCGTATCACAGATTCACAGTTTTTCATATTTCTGTGAAATGAATAATAAGAGTGAGAGTGAGACGCCATGCTTTGTGGTTATGTCCGCCAAAACCCAAAAGCATCTTGTTTCCTTTGACCCAAGATTCATCATTTTGCCCCTTTATAAGTTTGGGTAAATGCTCAATTCTATCCCCTATAAATTCTGAAATATGAAAATGAACCCCTGCTTCATGCTTATTGATTAACAAACTTAAAAAGAAAAAATTTAAGATACAAAAACATTTAATTCTTTTCTTCCCCACAATTAATTATCAACTAGGAAGTCCTCGTGTTGTATCCCAATTAAAAAGGGTTTGGCTCGTTGCGGTTAAATGATACTACTAAAATGTCTTTTAAGACTATATTTTTCACAATGTGATGGTTGGTCTGTTATTCAAGAATTCGATTGTTTTTGGTTCCTTTTCATTTAAGGACTTTTGAGATATTTTGGTTACTCAATCTTTTTTATAGAGTAGTAATATATTCAAGGGTAGAGAAATTAGTTGGGTGGATCGTTTTATAAGCTTATTTTAGTTTTTTGATCCTTTGTTTTTCTGACTTTGTTTCGTTTGTTTTTGTTTATTCGTTGCTAACGTTTTCTTAATAAATTTTTTGTTGTTCGGAAAAAAAAACTATATATTTAGCAAATTTAAGAATCCATAACTTTTTTGTTTTGCCATTAAAAAAAATAAAAATAAAAAATAAATAACTTTTTTGTTTTATTAGAAAAAAGTGATTTTATCTTTCATACTTTTTCTCATATATACAAGACACGTATTATTTTCTTCCAATATGTTTCATACATGTGAACAATATATATATATATATATATATATATATATATATATATATATATAAATGACATATATAAAAGCAAGCTATTGTATTTTATATTGTTGAACTATAATCTAATTTTTTTTTTTACAAGATAATTTGTCTAGACTAAAATAACGAAAGAAATACAAAATATAGATTTAGGACATTGTTAATAAAATCATCATTTTTTTTTCAAATAAGTCCACAAACATCTTTCTAGAACAAAATAATTGATTAGGCATATAAAACAAATATATATATATATATATATATATATATATATATATATATATATATATATATATATATATATATATATATATATATATTACCATTATTACTAATTGCTTTTGCATGTTACACATGAGTGACTGTATCGCCCCGATTCTCGAATATCAATTTATGGTGATAAATTCTCATGAATTCAAGGTCTACTTGACGAGTTGGTTGTCTGACTCGTCGAGTAGCAGCGGGTTAGGCAGCACACTTAAGTGATCTACTCGCCGAGTCCAAGAAGAGACTCGACGAGTAGGAGCTGGAGGATGAAACCCTAAATCTCGGGGTTTTGCACCCTATTTAAAGGATCATTTGCCCCTTAGCCTCCCTTTACAGCCTCTTGAGAGTCCAGAAACCCTAATTCGTGTGTGTGCTCCATATTAGTGTGAATTTCAAGCTTGGAAAGAAGATTTTGTTGCTAGAAGCTTGAAGATCAAGAAGTTGGAGGCAAGAACGTTTAGGGATCTGAAGTCTACCTCAGTTTAGCATCATTTGAAGGTAACAAGTTGTTACCTTGACCTTGTTCTTCCTAGATCTCTTCATGTTGAAGATTAGGGTTTTTATAGCATGGGTGATAACCATTTTCGGGTATGGGATAGGATCTAAAGTTGCCACTTCAGATCTGAGCTCATCTTGGACTCTAGAGCCATAAAGTCTCCAGCTTTAGCAAGCATGAACCCTTCCTTTTGAGTTAAACTCCATTTCAAGTTTAGTTTTGGCATTATGAGTCATTAGAGTCTTGCATGCACGTAAAGTTTGCAACTTTACGTGATAAACGTGCATTGGGAAGTTGGATCTACAATTTGGAGCCTTAGCATGGCTTAAAAATCGTCTGTATGAATAAAGGACTGAAGAGACTCGGCGAGTTGTATGAACGACTCGATGAGTCCAATGAAGATTATCGTAGACTCGGCGAGTTGTATGAACGACTCGGCGAGTCCGATGAAGGTTGTCGTGGGCTCGGCGAGTCAGTCGAGTGACTCGGCAAGTCGGCGAGGGTTTTCCTAACCTTTGGACACGTATGAACGCGACGAGTTATAAAGGGAAAACTCGGCGAGATGGCCAAGGAGTTACGACCACTGACCCTAGGAACTCGACGAGTCACACGAGTGACTCGGCGTGTTGGCAAGTTATGCAAGGAACTCGGCGAGTAGCTAAGGGTACTCGACGAGTTAAGGTCAACATGGACTGTTGACCTTGACATTTGACTTTGACTTTGACCAAGGGGTTGACCAGTTGACTTCTGAGCGTATTTTGATAAATTGGATATTTATAGCAAAGGACATTGGTGAATATAGGTGTTGGAGTTGGAGCTACATTTGGAGGAGTTTGACACTACCTTCCGAGCTACTTGCGAGGTGAGTTATCCTCACTTTATCAACAGGGTCTACGGCACCAAGGTCGGCCCTTTATCGGATTTATATCCGGGTATATTGCATGATATGTTTATTGATCTGTTAGATCTGCGTCCTGGTAGTTAGGACGGTATTGTGTTTAGTGACCTGGTTTAGGTCGGTATCCTGGTATATAGGATGATGCTATGTTAGTGACCTGGTAGGTCGGTATCCTGGTATATAGGATGATGCTATGTTAGTGATCGGTTAGGTCGGTATCCTGGTTATAGGATGTTGCTATGTTATATGATCTATTAGATCGGTTTGTTTGCCTATGGACTGTTATGTGATTATTTGTTATATGTGCACATGGTTGTTTAATTGGGGGTTGGGTTGAGGCGGGTCCTGCTTCGTGCTGTAGGCCAACATACCCAGGGCGGACCGGATAGACTGCATACCCGGGAGGGCACATAGTCAGGCCGAAGGCCCGGCGAGCGGTCCGGATAGGCTGAAGGCCCTGAGAGGGCGGTCCAGACGTGCCGAGGCTCGGAGAGTGGGCCAGATAGACTGAAGGCTCGGTGCGGGCAAACCACTCATATTGTACACTCAGAGAGTGGACCAGGTGGACTGAAGGCCCGGTGCGGGCGGACGAGTCACACGGTAGACTCGATATGCATGGTTGTTCTGTATTTGTTGATATGATATGATTATGGTTATATGAGGTTGGTATTTTTGGGGGTAACTCACTAAGCCTTCGAGCTTACATTTATCGATTATTGTTTCAGGTACAGCGGTTGACCGCGGGAAGGCGAAGGCGTGACCGTACACTTCCTCGGTTTATGATTATGATTTCTGGGAACTCTGGTATTAAACTATTTTGGAAAACCTTTTTGTAATAACTTTTGGTATTTTGAATGTTTTAAAATTTTAAATTTGGCTTGAATTTTATGGGTGTTACAAGTTGGTATCAGAGCCTTGGTTTGAGTGAATTGGAGGAACATGCGAGTGAATCCAGTCTCAAACCAAGGAAAAGATTTTCAAAATGATTTCTTAAAATGTTTTCAAAATAAGAAAGGAGGATGTGAAGTGTACGATCAGCCGGAGCCAGTAAGTAGATCCCAAAATACCATACAGTTATTTGATATTGCAATGTGTTAGAACAGCATGCTAGTACTAGGCTAGGGATCTTCAGGAATTTCATGATATAATTGTCTGATTGTATGATGCCTGATAGCCTAGGGTTTTTCTTATATGAAATTGACATCATTACTGTAGTTGTTTAGTGTATGCATCACGGTCGTACATAATTAAGATCTTATAGCCTGAGAATGCTTGATTTAGCCTTATGTTCTGTTCTTATTGATTAGAGTTTAGGGTTGGATTGGATATTTGAAAGTCTATAGGGTCCAGCGTTATGTATGGCTAGCATACACTAGTGCTGCAGGGTTGGTGGAAGTTTCATGGATGGTTGGGTTGAGAGAGGCCGGTAGGTCAGTTATGAGATATTTAGCATTCCTCTAGGAGTGAGGATTGAGCGCTCGCTATGATTATGTATATTGTTAGGGCGTTGTGATGATACTTGATATAAATATGGGTAGGTGTGGAAGGTAGTATGGGCCCGTACTACTGAAAGCACAGGACCCATACGCGTAGCAAGGAAGTCAAAACCCCTAGGGTTTTTTAGTTGGGAGATGGTTCTCGGGTTGTTATGAGGAGTATCTAATATCCTTTGGGTATGTTTTCAGTATAGTGGTTACACGGCGATTCGTCGCTGGATCCGGGTCGGGATCAGTAGAGGATGGACAGGAGGCGCCGGCAGCGCCCGAGACTATCGGCCAAATGAGGCCAGACGAGATGGATGACATGATAAGGGAGATCCTGCATGATGAGGTTGTTGCTATGTTCCGAGCTCAGTTGCCGGAGATGTTTGGGTCTATCAAGACCGCCATGGTCGAATACTTTGACGAGCGCTATGCAGCCCTCGCGGAGGTGGCTGTCGCGGCAGCTACTGCAGCTGTAACAGCGGCAGGGGTAGGAGCCAGTCGGGCTTTTCAGTACCGGGACTTCAATAACATGAAGCCCCCGACTTTCGATGGGATTCAGGACCCTATCATAGCCATGAGGTGGCTATCGGACATCGAGGGATGCTTTTTCACATGTTCCTGCCCGACTGACCAGAAGGTCAGGTGTGCCCTGACATGTTGAGGTCCGGGGCGAAGGACTGGTGGAGGTTGATGACAGGGTCTTATTCGGATGAGCAGAGAGCTGCAGTCTCTTGGGATCAATTTAGGGAGATGTTCCGCTCCCGCTACATTCCACGGGTCGAGCGTGAGCGGCTAGCTCAGGAGTTTTTGGAGTTGAGACAGGATGCAGAGTCGGTGACGGAGATCACCCGTATGTTCACTGAGAGGGCGATGTTTTGCCCGGAGTTTGCTTCCGAGCAGACTCAGATGACACGTTATCTGAGCATGCTCAAGACTGCCATTAGACAGTTCGTTGCTACCCAGCGGTGTGATACATTGCTGGAGCTACAGGAGGCTGCCAGGCGGCGTGAGTTAGAGACTGAGTTACAGTTGCGAGAACAGAGGCAGACCTCGGTGCAATCGCAGTCGGCGCCAAAGCGGTCCAAGAACGTTGATTCCAGGGTTGGAGGATAGAG